ACAACTTGTCCTGAGGAGAGGCAGAGATATACACATCCAAGGGTCAGGGTGTGGTACAGAGTCCATTGTTAGAATGGGGGAATTAGCCTACGGCTGTTCAGGTGTTTGGTCAGTAGGAGGCAATAACATGTAGATTAAGTTGCCCTTTAACTGTCTGGCAGCCACAATCAGTTTCCTATTCAGGTTTGGGGAAATGCCTTTAGCCATTCCCAACAGGTGACTACATGTGTGACTCAACCCTGTTGAGTCCCCAAGTCTCATCAACCTTTTGATGAAACTCTTGAAATTATGACATGCTGGAACTGGTTGCTGGCAATTCCTAACTGCTCTCCCCTGCTGGCCTGATCACCCCTAACCACATCTGTCTCAGCCCCTGACACCATGGCTTTGTCTGGAAGGACGTCCAAAAGGACATCTAGAAGATGTCTGGTCTATCTGGTCTAATTAGCATATTAACCTTTTATTAGTATAGACTAGTGGCCCGGTGCACAAAAATTTGTGCACTCGGGGGGCATCCCTCAGCCCATCCTGCCCCCTCTAACAGTCTGGGAGACCTCACAGGATGTCCTACTGATGTCCCTGTGGGGAGTGGGCCTAAGCCACAGTCTGGCCTCCCTCTGTGGAAGGCAACTGACCGATCAGGTATATAGATACTTTCTGAAGGCAGCACAGACTCCTTCCTTATTTCTTTCCTCTGTGGTTGGAGAATAGGGGACTAAAAGGTGGAGACAGAACTGTGGCCGGGCCTGGGGCTCTTGTAGGCAGCAGAAAGAAGGAGAGGGCTGGGGAAAGTCTAGACATGGTTTTCTTCAATTGTCCTCCCTTCCTCCAGGCCCCTCACTCTGTTCTTTCCTTGTCATGGTGGACGCTTGGGCCTCGGACTGACAGGAGCCCAGCGATGGTGGAGTTCAGCCCTCTCACTTCTCAGCTGAACATATAAACGGCTCACATTCCAAGTGGAGCTGTTTTCAAGTGGCTAAAGTGCTGGCAATTCATGCCTCCTGGCCTTTCCCCTCTGGGGCTTCCACCATGGGTCAGTTGCAAACTTCACCAAGACACCGAAGCAACTCTGCCCTGGTACTTCTGCACCGGCCCCTGCACTCTTCCTTGAGGTCTCTGGGTCCACAGTCTGAGCTCAGGGAGGTCACCCAGAGCCCGTTGCCCCGGACAGGTGGGGCAGGGAGGCTAGCTTGAAGAGCTGGAGGAAGATGGCAGAGTAAGAGTTGGTATGAACCAGCGCCTGCTTAGCCAGACTTCCTAAGCTCCCCACTGGGCCCAGGCCTGGCCCCTTCCCCACACCAGGAGGATCCCAGTTGAGGTCCCCTCCCTGCACCCAGCGCTCTCCTCCCTGTTCTACCACTGGGGGAAGGGAGCAGCTCACCTCCTCTGGACCCTGCCAACCTGGCAGGCTGAGGCACAGGAGGTGCAGCCTAGGGTGCTGGTGGCTGCGAGCCTTCTCCCCCACCCTGAAGCGTGGGGCGGGGTTGCAGCAGCTCACAGCCATCCCTGGGCAACATGCATGGAGAAACCGCTCTCCACTGGGCCACCATCCACCATCCTGAAGGCAGCCCATGTTGTGCCAGCCCCTCGTGCTGGTCAATCAGGGAGGGATGCGGGATGCAAAATTCCGTCTCTCTCTCTCTCTCAGAGTGGGCCCCGTGTCTCCGGTGGGCGGGTGAGGGCTCCGGTGAGGCAATCTGCACTGCTTGCATTCGCCCCAGCCCGCCCCCTGATCGCATTGGGACATGTCTCCTGCTGCATTCCCAAACCCCTGGGTGCCCCTGCCCAGCACTGCTCTCGGGCCTGGGGTGGGAGTGAGGGACATGGAGCACCATCCTTAAGGCAGCCCTTACTGGCTTGGAATCATAGTGGTCAATCAGGGAGGGATGCGGGATGCAGATTGCCTCGCCTGAGCCCTCGCCTGCCCACCGGAAACATCCCAATGCGATCTGGGGGCGGGCTGGGGCTGATGCAAATGCAAATCTGTGTAGATGGTTTTTGGGGAGATCTGCGTGGCCCCCCGGAAACATCGGAAAGGAGAGGTTGGCTTTGGTAGGGACTGGGAGAGATTTGTGGTCCCCCCCCCCCCTTTTAGAAACAAAAGGAGACA